CTTCAGACCGTCCAATCAAAATGATTCATAGTCTTGCATTAATAGCACCTAGAACACTATAAATAGAGCCCCACCCCTCACATGGATGAGGAGGCTGAAGAGAGAACTTGAGGCTTTGAGAAGGAGCTCAAATCCAACATTATCCCTATCATCGTCGATCGCCGTCGACCATCACTGACCGTCAACAACCACCGCCGGCCACCGTCGACCGCCGCAGATCACCTCTGACCTCCGTCGACCATCGCTAATCATCATCGATTATCGTCGACATTATCGTCGCCTACCGTCGATCACCGCCGACCTCCATCGACCACCGATGACTCAACTTCGTCAGCCGACGTTATAACTCGGAAAACAAGTAATCATTTCCCGTCTGTGGGACAAGAGACATCTGTAATCATCAACTTATAATCATCAACTTATAGTGAGCTTATAGTGAGTTTTTACAACTGGGTCAGATCCCGTGGTTTTTTCCCTTTACGGGTTTTTCACATAAAAACTTTTAGTGTCATCATAGCTTGATTCATTTTCATCTGAGTGTATGTTGAATCCTCGCGCAACGCTAAGACGATAATCCATTACTCTACCGCCGCGAATTTTCTAGCATGCATCAGTTTCTTGAGTAAGTTTTTCTTGTGTTGCCTTTATTATGATTTTACATTTAATTTAATTCTGTTATTTGTCGTGTGAAAAATGTTTATAAAATAAGAATGAGATGCTTCAACAGCACAAAACCATCTGGTCAACAGTGGTCTGCAACGATCCTATTACAACCAATAAAGGAATCTTAAAAGAGAATGATGTAACGTTATTTCTGATTGTAGGATCAAAAGTGAATGGCATTATTTAGTTCAAACCAATTAAGGATAAAAAGGGAAAAAAAAAAACCCTTTCGGCCACTATATAGATTGAAATGCACTGTTGGAGGATGAAAACTCACCCAAGCTAAAGCTCAAAAAATGATAGTCCTCCAATAAGTAGGGCTGGCTGCAAACTTGCCTATCATGCTGCATGGCTGAATGGGGGCCCTAAGACTATAATCTGCTGAATCATAGATATATATATATATAGTTGTACTTATATTAAACGATTTTAGAAACAAAAAAAAAGTTTGTATATTAATCATTGAAGATTATGAAAACATTTATGCAGCAGCAAAAATGTTGGTACACAACAAACACTATGGAGCATGAACATTCCGAAGAATAAACAATTAATGAGGCTAAACACTATGGAGCATGAACATTCCGAAGAATAAACAATTAATGAGGCTAACTTTGGCATCAAATACTTTGCAAACATCTACACAATGAATGTCAAATGCAACACTCTGCACTTCAGCAGATACATTTTTTTTCAATCAACAATAATGAATATTTCAGGATATGAAAGGGCACATTCTTTCTTAATGCAATAAACGAAAATAACCATGATCTTGTATGAGGAAGGCATCAAGGTTAAACCGTCAAATCAAAATATGTATTACATGAACCCAATCAGGCAAGGCATCATTTCCTTGCAATAAAATTTGTCTATGGTGTGGTAAAACATAATAGGGATATTAGTTAATTTCTTATCTTTCAAATTGAGTTATGAATGGATTATCAAGCCTAATCTGTTAAAGATGATTTCATAGAAATTGTTTATTTTGATTAATGGATTATACAGCAAATAGTATGTTTTCTTTATTTTGAAATATGCTCATCTGCCAATGGTAAAAAATTTATAACTTCATGCACCCTACATGTTTCTAGCAGACCTTATCCGTTAAATTTGAACTTTAAAAAATGAATAGGTGATGGAAGTGATCTGCAGGATAAGAAAACACTATGCTTTTGTGGATGGTAAAACCAGCCATGGAGGCATGATTAGAAACACCATCCTCAAAATAACTCAACTATTTTGTTGGTGCAAACTACATCAGATATTTGATATTCACTATTTGCTACTCCCACCATCTCTCTAATAGCAATTTATATTAATTTTATATAACAACTTTATATGTGCTTATAACACCCATAAGTACATGGGCAAAACCAAATTTATTTCCGCTACCTTATCTGCACTACTTACCATTCCCACAATCTTATAATACTTTCTTAACATATTCTTCCAAGTTCTACTACATCTGCATCAAATAAACACAAATCTTTTAGCACAACTTCTAGACATGCTAAATTTGATTTATTTATCATTAAATCAAGTTTCTCTACTCATATTAATGAGGCATTTTGCATCTTTTATCTTTTGTTGTACATAATAGTATTAGAAAAAAATTAAATGTTTGAAAAATAAAATCATTTGCAGATGTTAATGGTTTGTGTTCCGCATTTTGAAATAATTGATTTTTTTTTTTTACTTCCCTAAAATGAAAGTGACTATACATAGGCTGATAGAAGAGATAAAATAGGAAAGAAATAATAGAACAGAAAAGGAGAATATCATAAATTTAGAGGAATTGAATAATTAGTAACTTCCAATATAAAATCTATATGAAAATACTCACTCTAAAGCGGAAGCAATATATTAGCTGGACCCAACTAAGAAAATGGAGTGTTCCAAAAGCCCTTACAAAAACCTTTACGAATTAATTTGGCTAAAGATACGACTGCGATCTTCTCTGATAGAACTGCATCTCTAATTAAGTGACAATCTTGTACAAAGCAATCCAATAAACCTAAAGAAGGATGTAACAACAACTAAATGATCAAGGCATTCCAACCTAGCTTCATCATCGACAACAATAAGAGCATGAATAGGCTCCCCTCGGCGGCTCTAGTGTCAAAATTCTGATGGCCAATTAAAATGATGAAAATGATAAGGGAGTATTTGGTGGCACCCTTTTTATAGGATTTGTTTTTAGATTTAACGTAAATCCAGTAAAACATGAAAAGTAGAGTAGCCAAATCCGGCACTCCGCAAAATCCATTTTCATCTTTGTTCCGTCTTTTTTTCGACGTAAATCCAGATTACTAAAGTTGACTATTCGGTGGATTTAATGGATTTAGCTTAGGAAGAAAACAAGGTCAAACAGATTTTGCTAAGTAGCTCAAACAAATTTAACCTTAATTGACTCAAGCATTACTCTAGATTTAACATCTGGATTTGGTAAATCCGAATTTACTAGACTTACTAAATCCTATTTAACATAACTCCTATTTGCAGCCAAACACCTCATAAGTGGCTTCGTCCACTCAAAATGGATGCTAAAAACCAAGAAAAGTTTTCGCCCTTCCATCAAAGTCACAACCTACTACCAAATTCTAAAATAAGTTTTAGAAAGGAGATTGCATGCTTGATCCAACAAGGGGTATCTCCACTACTTAATCCAGAACCAACACATTTATATCAGTATCAACCTCCTTGGGGGAAGCCCAAAAAATAAAAATAGTGCAACAAAAAATCCAACGTACGTGAAGTTGAAATTAATGTCAATGTCATATTCTACTCCAAATTTCACAGTCGAGACTTTCTAGATAAAAGCCTCATCTTGCTACTGGTTCCCTCTACGCATTTGGCAATCATCCCCCTTCAAAGTAGACTTTAAGAAGAATAAATTTAATTTTATGCCAACAAAATTCATTATATGCATGATCTTAATGTTAAAATGCTTAATGGAAACATATATCAAGCTAAAAAATAAGATAGTGGATAACCACATGCTTTTTCTTGATTTTGAGAAGGTTAATGATCAAGTGCCATGAGAATTGATTAGATCTGCATAAAAAAAGTGTCTGATATATATCATTATCAAATATGTATATATGATTGAGCCCTAACTAGAATTATAAGAAATTATGAAATGGCCTAGAATGTTATGGTCACGATAAGTTTACATTTTGAATCAACATCAACTTCATATCTTTTTGTATTGATAATGACAATGCTCAAAAAAGACATGCAAGTTGAGTACATTGGTTTATAATTTTTGGTAATGATATAATTCTAGCTGATGAACACTATCAAAGTAAATGAAAAGTCAGAATCATGAAATATAGATAGGCTTTCACCTCCTAAAAAAATAACTACCCTTCACCACTTCTTCTACCAGAAGAGCAATTAGCTTCTACAAATTTAGATATTGTTCAAACTCTAGAAGACTCCAATGATTACATGAAAATTCATTTGTTATTACTTTATGTTTCCAGCCTATTTGCTCATGGTTCACTCTTCTGCATAAAAGTTGGGAGTTTTTTCCTATAATTATTATTTCCTCAGTGTAATCTAAAAGGCACAAGTTTAAATGATAAAAATAACTTTTATTTAAATGCTAACACTAAGCTTCATGCACTGGGTGTGCTCGCTTGCCCTTATTATGACTTGGAGGTCATGATCGTGATTGTGGAAAAAAAAAACTTTATGTTAAAGCATATATCATATTATATACATAAAACAAACATAAAATCTTATTTGCAAAAGCAATATATATTGGACAGGCACTTAATTTAATTGTTGTTGTTTCTTCTACATGATGTTAAGCACTTTGAGGAGAAAGAATGTTCTAAGGACATTCATTGCAAGGAAATATAGCATAATTCTCCACCACAAGAAGAAACTTTCCAAAGTTTCCTAGAAGGAAAAACCTCTGAACAGAGTTCCGCTACTCGGCTCCAGAAACAAAGTTCAAAACACAGTTAAACAACTCAATAACCTTCTCATTTATTCAACCAAACAAAACCATTTCTTTCATCGTCAAACCAATCAAAAGCATAACACCTAAAGCTGGAAAAAAACAAAGTAAAAGGTTTATGTTGAATGCACAACCAATTACATTTGCAGCGAAAAGGAGAAACAAACCTTCACAACACAAGTTACGCCGGATACAAAAACCCTAATTCTCTCTAGCATAAATACATCAAACTCTCTTCATATAAAACATGAACGCAAAGATCTATCAACAGCAGGATCATCTATCTTTAATGCAGAAGGCAACACAAAGAAATGCAGAAATCTCCCCTCAAAACAAACACAAACCATGAAAAAACCAGAATTCAGCGTACCTTCGAACAACCTTTCAGCGAAAGAACTATTCCCCCGCAACGACCATTATGATTTCCCGCACCAAACAAAACCTGCGGGAAAAGGAAAAGAGCGAGCTTTCCCTCCCAAATAGAAACGAGAAGACGAGCAGAAATGAACGATCGAAGGGGGAAAAACTCGCTTGCCGATCCGACCCGGAGCGAACCGGCAATCTCATGGTCGTTACAACGCTACAACCGATCACCGGTTTTCCCTTACTGGGACCGGTCCAAACCCTAAATAGGCCGCTCGGTGAATCGCCAAAAACCGTAAGCCGTGGGCCCGTAACTCACTTGCTAAACATACCATACAGGCAACACCTTAACTAGCCACCCAGATTTGCCACGTAATCCCAACATAAGTTTTTTATTTCTTTAGGGGCTTTCACATACATTACACCCCTTTCTTTGTTATGTATTTACTTATCTCACACATAAGCTTTGATTTTATAAATTAAGCATCCTATCTATAGAAAAAAAGTGTAATTCACATTTTTATATATCTTTTTAAATATAGGAAAAGATGCTAAAATTATAAAAATAAAACTTAGGGTGTGAGATGAGTAAATGCATAAAAATTGGGTGTTATGTATGTAAATTTCTCCTTTTTTATTTTTCATATTTTACATAAAAATATTGTGGTTACTAACTTCTTGAAAATGAGTTCATACTTGACACCAAAATGTTATCAATTTTTCCTCATTTGTCACGCCGCGCACGAAACTTGCTTCAATTGACCCGTCTATTGGAGAATTTTTCTAGATGACTTTGAATGATGAAATGAACTGTGTGAACGCATTCGGGGAGTCGATTTTACCTAAAAAAAATTATCAATTTCACTATAATTTTGCATACGGGTTATAAACACGCGAATCTGAAATTTAAAATAGTAAATTAATAATAATAATAATAATAATAATAATAATAATAATAATAATAATAATAATAATAATAATAATAATAATAATAATAATAATAATAAATTTGTTTCAATTGATCCGCCGGTGAACTTTTCGTTGATGAAGTCACCACCGTGAGCCTCCTACAACTCATTGGCACAACCTCTTGGCCAGAGATCCTCCTTGTCGACCTTCACTTTTTTTTTTTTGGCTTAGAAGTCTTGCCTTGACGCCCTTCTCCTGCCGACGATCACATTATCCTCTTGCCGCCAACAATGCAATCCTCCTTCTGTCGGCAACGCTAGCTAAGCTTCCCTTGGTTTCATGTGTCCTTGTCTACACGCTCTACCTTGTCGACATTTTCTTTTTGGCAAGAAGCCTCGTCGGAGCTCCTCATCGTCGTCGGGGTGGCAATGATGTTACGACGTATAGAGGCCTATCTGACATCTCACAAAGATCCGTGATGGTCACATTTTTTTATGTTGTGATTATTTATTTTAGATACTTGTATACCTCTCTTTTGCTCTCACTCGTTTGTGTGGTTCATTGCGAGATACGTTGGCACGTGGACTGGACATCGACAACTCGAAGCAAGCCGCGAGGACGTCTGCAAACTTTACGATGGTAAGATTTTTTTAACTCTTAGTCGACCCTAGGGTTAGTTTGGTCTATGGACATGTGTTTGATCGCCCACGCAGGGTGATGTGGCTTAAGACATGCTTAATTTCCTTTCTCTTTTTCACCTGTTTATGGATGAAGTTACATTTTAAAGGAAGATATTTTTATTGTTTTTCTTACAAGAACAACAGGTGGGAGAACTGGAATGAAGTGCAGAAGAAATGAAGCTAATCAGATGTGAATTGGAGAAGAAGTGACTTGGAGCATTAGCACTTAGGCGCCAGCCTTTGGACGTCAAGGCGATTTTCCAAGTGCCTTGGTGCAGCCCTGTGGCTCTTAGGCGCCACAACCCTCTTGCACAAACAGAGAAGTTGGCGCTTAGGTGCTAGAACTGTCTAAAGTTGTTTTCTGCAGTTACTTCACACGTTCCAAGGAGTTAGTATGAGCTTATATGGATGTATTTAGATATGGAACAGAAGGGGGGAAGGAAGAGGAGAAGAGGGTTAATTGTTGTTGAAGCCCTAAGGGAAATCCTGAGTAGTTCTTAGGGTGGAAATTTTTTTTTTGATCGATGTATTGAACTATTGGTGAGGATTGAGAGATTGTGTAAGGGAGATACTCAACATTGCAAGAATCATTTGGGGATCTGTTGTGGAGGATTCTTCATCACTTTTTACAAGGGAATAATTAAATATTGTGTTCTATTTCATATTCTAGTATTTGTAAACGCAATTCTAGTGGATTTACTTTGTTTTAAAAGATTATTTGTGTTATTTACTTCATGCATTGTGAATAGTTTCTTCTTACTTTTCTCTTCGGATGAATAGGTTGGATGTGTGGGATGCTTTTAGATTTGGTTTTAAATCTCTAATGTGATGAGTATTCTTTCATGTTTAATTTAATTTTTATTTTGGCCAAATGATTAGTTAAAATATGTTGTGATCCATAATGACTAGAGAGAGCTGTGGAGAAATGATTAGAGCGTTCACATTGAACTATAGGGTGAAGCAAAATTAATCTATAGGGCGATGCAAATAAATATGAAAATAATCTTTGATGAGTTCAAATTGGAGTTTAAGCATTAAAACTGGTTTAATCAAACTTTTTTATGCACTCGAGAGAGGGTAAGGAAAAGAATTACTCATATTTGTCACTTTCAACCGACAGCTTCTTACGGGCAAACCCCACACCAAAAATAGTGCCGACAACACTATGTATCTCATTGCAACGGAGGGTAACTCTTTTTCTTGATAATCACCAATCCAACTAAGCTATGTAGGATTTTTATAGAATTTAACATCTAAAATTGATTGCAGTATTGTATTATTACTTTGTAGAGCGTTAATGTAATCTAGATTCACGGCTTAGAATTAATCATAGTAGGTTAGAATTTCTCTTAAGTCTAATTCCCTCACTCCTTGTGGAATTGATATTTCAGACTAAAAAATTTGATATTACTGATACAATATGTATACTTGCGTGAGACCCAAAACTGTGAGAGCACATGAATTAGAGGGTTTATCACAGAGTGGATGTGCGGACCAACATTTTTCAACATGACCGCGCCACCTATATGATGGGTCGTCGATTTAGTTATAGAAAGTCCTAGGTTAGGAATTTCGTGTGTTGGTAATTTCTATACGGAGCCGAGTGATTCCCCTTTTGAGCCATAGGACTTAATCCTACTGGGTCTGAATCTCAATTTCCCACGATTTTAGAGCTCCCAAACTCCCTTGGAGGGGTTAGTTAAGTTCGATCTTAGAGGATGAAAAAAACTTTTTAGTCGAGTAGTTTGACATGGAGAGCATTGCGGACACTTGAAGTAATACTGGTGCAATTTGTCACTAGCTTATTTGCTGGGATAAATGGGCTGCCTCAACTTTACTTCTCTTTTTCCCTTTTTTTGTTGAGGCTGCAGGTTGCTTGGATTAACTAGACTCCCTCTGGTCTCTTTGATTCAGTTGTTCCTCGTATTAATTATTGGAATGAACACATTCAAGCTCATCCAAATTAGGGGACGGATTTTTTGTTGTAGCTCAGATGTTGATCGTTGTTGCTACAACACCAAGGAACATAGTACCTAGCTTCTCTTCCAGCTCCGAGTTAATGCCAGCAAGCTTAAATTTTCTTGCATTATGCAAAACCTATATTTGATAAACTTAACTTCTAAGATGTTGAATTTTAAAGTAAGCAATATTGAACGTAAGATGTTATACTTACTGAAGTTTTCTATTACCACCACTACTTAAGTGCATCAACTATTTTCTTAATAGGCTCTCATCCAAAACCAGTGGCCCCTCTCCTTAGGTCCTTCCACAACTTCCAGTACACCTTAAGTTGATCCCATTTATTTTTTAGCCGGGTTTTGTCGCACAGTCTACCTGTTCTTTCTTGAAAGAGTTTCGTTATATTTTGTCAACATTTCTTATTGAAATGAGAGTTTAGTTGATTGCCCTTTTCTACCTCTCCAAAACATAAATCACATAAATTTATCTTCGTCTCCCTATCCCAAATGAAGGATATCCCATCTTCTTTTTGTTTCTCCGTATGAAATCTAAGTAAAAGGGAAAATTTATCAACATAACTTGGCTTGTAAAACAACAATATATGAACCTAAAACAAGAGTAAGGCAAATTAAAAGTAAAAGTAGATCCCAAAATAAATTCATAGATATCAAAATAACTACTTCTAGAATCATCAAATATGTTATCTTGACATAAAGACAAGGCAGTATCCGCGTCAAATTAGCATAGTCATTTTATTTTTATATTCATAATTGGTAATTGGTTGAGCCTTTTGTTCTAATTTTTCCATCATCATTTTACTGAAAATTTTACAATAAATGTGAAATGTGCCCAAAAAATCACATTCTGAATGCATCATCATAAATGAAAACCAAGCAACCAACCGGTCCACAAATGATCCATAGGAATAAGATCTTAGAAATCTCAAAAATCATTTCTTATGAGTTAACAACATCTACTCCATCTCAACATATCTCTCTTTAGATAGATCTATGAGCATTGATTTTTCAGTTTTTTTTGAAAAATTTTACTGGTTAAATTGTTTGCTCTTGCTTCCATATTAGTGTGGAGTAACATTTTGGGAGGAAAATGTTAAGCACCACTTACCTTTTTAGTTTTCATTTGTTGTGATTTTTATAAATAAAATTGTATATGTTTTGCTGCACATTTGAAGTTTGCATGATGTATAAGTTAGCAACATCATTGCATGTCCTGATCAATCAATAGAAGCAATAGAATAAAATATATTTGAGCATTATTCATCTGATTCTTTCAAATTTTTTGTGTTCTTGTTTTGCATATCTATGCACAATGCGAACCCTCAGATTACATGTCAGATAAGAAGGTCATAACCAATTTTTTTTTCTATCACGCTATCCAATTGGGTCCTCGAGCTAATATTTAGATCTCAGTGAGATCTTTTAACTGAAGAAAACTTCATCCATAATAATCAATTTTTTCCAAATCAAATAAGCACTTAAATGTGCTCTCTAGTGACAGTTATTATCTGTGGGAAAACAAACTTGCCAATTTAAAATTGACGAGTGATGATCGGTTGAGCCCTTTGATAGTTACTTGTCATCATCGCTTTAAATAACATTTGAATGAAATCCTTCATTTGATATCTTATCTGGCATATATTTGCA